GGGGTAACCAAAACCGAACCCAAAAAATTCTGGGGGGGGGGGGGGGGGGGCGTACTCTTATGCTTTGCATGCCTTAGCGGTTAGACCATTGACCACGCGTCCTCGAGAGGACGGAGCATTGTTCCCACAGGACCGATCACCGATGGCCAATCGTTCCTTCCTACTTTGCCAAAGGTGGCTCAAAAATGTCTTCCCTAGTCTGTCTATCCTACCGATGTCACTTCCCGCCTTTTCAAACCACTTCCTACTCCCCAGTACCGCTACCGTCCTCTCCTCTCTATTCCATGCCTCAAACATCTCCCTGTACGTCCCTTGTATTCTTCCCAGCTCAGTCATGTACACTTCCCTCTCCTTTTCGTACCACGGACATTCCGCGACTACATGAACACTGTCTTCGCATTCGAAGCCGCAATGACATTTGAACTTGTCGTCTTCGTCGTCTACCGTCCTATGTCTTCGTCGACGTTCGCGAAGGCCTATGTCCCCGGTCCTGAATTTGACCTTAAGCTTTGTCCCTGCATCCATTGGTCCATGTAGGTAATCCTTGAACCCTATTCCTTCTTTCAACATTCCGTACACTTCTAGACCCTCCTTATCCTTGGATTCTTTCCTTAGATGCTGTTCTTCTCTGTCGGCACAAGCAACAGATATCTTCTTCTTGAACCCCTGTAGACCCTCCGTTTCCAGCGTTTCATCTTCGTCGATGTCCAATCCCTTCCATACGTCCTCTACAACCTTGACCCATTCCGTGGGTTGTCTACCCCTCTTTTTGTTTGCCCACTTCGCCTCCCATACTATTCTCGGCAACCTCTCCTCTCCCATCCCGCACATGCGGTACTGCCATGTCAGCTTCCTTACGTCTCTTCCCGACCGTAGGGATTGGATCCCCAATTCTGCCCTGACTGCTGCATTACTTGTGCGCTTGGAGCATCCTAGGATAATTTTCGCTGCTTTCATCTGCGCCGCCTCGAGTTCTTTCACTACCTTCTTATTTCCTTCCCATACTTCTCCGGCGTACTCCAGCGGCGGTACGATTACGCTCTTCAAAACCGTCAATTTGATGCGTGTATCAAGGTGCCGGTTTGCGAGTATTGGGTGCAGCTTCCCTGCTCGTGCTTTGCCCTTTTCCGCTACCTTGGACATGTGTGCATTCCACGAGCAATCTTTTGCGATCTCTACTCCGAGGTATGTGTACTGGTCGACTACTGCAATCTCCTCGATCCCCCACTTCCATCTATGTTCTACTGGTTCCTCCCTGCCCTCGTTGCATACCATGACGGCACTCTTCGTAACGTTGGCAGACAATCTCCACTTATCAGTAAACTTCTTCGCCGCGTCAATTTGCAGTTGCAGTCCCTCAGGGGTGTCCGACATACCAACAAAGTCATCCGCAAACAGCATTCCTGACACCGAAGTTTCCGTGTCCCCTACTTTTACTCCCTTCCGGACTGCCTCTACGACTTCCAACAGATCGTTGATGAACACCTGGAACAATGTTGGGGACAGCGTGCAACCTTGTGGGACCCCTTGCTCAATGTCGAAGAATTTAGACAGTTCTCCGTCTAGCATGACCGCGCTTTTCGTACACTCTGTCATCTTCTTCAGCACCCTCCACATTTTCCCCTTGATCCCGTACTTGGACAATTGTTTCCACAGCCCATTTCTCCATACGGTATCGTATGCCTTTTTCACGTCCAGGAAGAAGCAGTACGTCCGCTTGCCCGCCCTCTTTCTACCTTGGATGATTCTCCCTACCGTGAATGCGTGGTCTACGCACCCCCTCTTCTGTCGGAAACCTGCCTGGCCCTCACTAATGCTACGTTTCTTCTCCAATACTCCCACTATCCTATCGTTCAGCAGCTTACAGAACACTTTTCCTACTGTGTTCAACAGTGTGATACCCCTGTAGTTTCCTGGGTCAGTCTTGTCTCCTTTCTTAAACAAGTTCACAACCACTCCTTCCCTCCATCTACTTGGCGCATACTCGTTTTTCCACACCCAGTTGTACAGCAGTACCATCAGCTGGATCATCCCCTTGCCCCCAAACTTCATGAACTCGTTTACTATCCCATCCGCCCCTGCTGCTTTGTGGCACTGCAGCTTGTTCACACACGCCTCAACCTCGTCCTCAGTAAACTCCTTTTCTAGTTCTACGTTCCCAACGTCTGCCTTCGATGTCTCTTCTTCTTTCTGGGCCCATGCGTCCACCTCCTTCTTAAACACTTGGTCAAAATCTTCATTCTCCGAAGGCACTCCAAGTCTCTTGTAGTGTCCTGCTAGAACTTCCCTTTTTCCCTTCCCACTGCAGACTAGT